GCTACACTATCGAATAGTACAGCTAACCCTTTTCCCATCACCTCAGAGATCTACATGCACACCAGATCTATGGGTAGAAGGATCTGGCTGCTGATGTTGTGTATACTCCTTCCCCAGCCCCCCAAACAGCTGTTTCAACCAGCCCTACGTGTACAATTCTGTGACATTAAGGCATACATCATACTGTGCAATCAATACCACTATTTTTAAAAAATGGCCAACTCTAACTGAGAAATTCACTGCCACCGAGTTGATTCTGAGCTCTGGTGGTGCAGTGATAATGCGTAGAGCTGTGATCCACATGGTTGGAAGTTAAAATTCCCCAGCAACTCCTCAGGAGACAACTTTCTGCTCTCTTAATCCATTACAGCCGCACACACCCACAGGGGCTGATATGAGTCAGCACTAACTCGGTGGCAGTGAGTTCGGTTTTGGTTTTACATAAGGAACCCATAGTTCCCTATGGGTAGAGGTGCCCCCGTGGGTTTCCAAGACTCTTTACCAGAGTAGGAAGCATCATCTTTCTGGTGCAGAGTGGCTTCGAACTGCTGACTTTGCATTTAGCAACGCAGTGTGTAGTAACCCAATGCACTACCAGGACTCAACAGAAAGAAACCCAGAGCCCTTTAACAGCCGTTGTCCTCCCCATCCCCTGTTCTTGTTTTAGGCAATTCTCTAGTGAGTGGAATCATACAGTATCTCTCTTTTTGTGCCTGGCTTATTTCATGCAGCATGTTTTCAAGGTCCATCCCTCTCACAGTATTTCTTTTTGTGGCTGCATGATACTCCATTATATGTGTGGTCCACCTTTTGTTTACCCACTCATCTGCATTTAAGTTGTCGCCACCTTCTGACTTTTGGGAACACTGGCACACAAGTTGCTGCTTTCAAGCCTTTTGGTTATGTCCCTAGGGGTGGAATTGCTAGATCATATAGTTAAGCAGTGGGCTGCTAACTAAAAGGTTAGCAGTTCAAACCCCCCCACCCCCCCACCCCCCTTGCAGGACTTAAAGCAATCCGTGTCTTTAACAGATTATCAGCTAGGAAATGCTGTAGGCAGGTTCCACTCCGCCAGCAGGGGGCACCAGGAGTTGGATTTGATGGGAAAGCAGCCAGCAGCACCACTAGATGGTCACTGTGTAATTTTTGTAATCACCACCAAAATATGCTTTTTCCCTACAGCAGCTGTACCATTTCAGATTCCTCTTTCTCCACAGCTCCCCACTTGCTATTCCGTTATTAAATAGTGAGTAGTGGGTGTCTCATTTATGGCTTTTATTTACAATCTCCAAGCGCTTACAAATTGGGAGCATGTGACCCCCATGTTCAGCAGCAGAAAGACTGGACTTTCTACTGTCATAAACTGTTACAGTCCCAGAAACCTACAGGGGCCATCATAAGTCAGCACTGACTCCGTGGCAGTTGAGTTGTGGAGCATGACATTGAGCATCTTTTCATGTCTGTTTGGTCAGCCTCCTTTGAGAAATGCCAACATTTTTTTCCCTTTTTCATTGGGTTGTCTCTTAGTTGTTGAGTTGCAGAAGTTCTTTATCTATCCCAGATATTAAATCCATATTGGATGGAAAGTTAGTAAACATTTTCTCCCATTCTTTAGGGTATGCCGTTACTTTCTTGGCAAAGCCCTTTGAGCCACAAAAGTTCGTTTCACTGCTGTCCAGTTGACCTACTTTGTCTTTTGTGGCTTGAGCTTTAGCAACCCACTGCCCAAAACTAGATCCCAAATTACCATGGCTGTTTTAAGACTTCCATGGGTTTCGTTCTTGCATGTAAGTCATGGATGCATTGTGAGTTAATTTTCCTATTTGGCCTGAGATATGGGGTGACTATTTTTGAAGACACCATTTTAATGGGTTACCTTGTGTTGGCCTATGAGAAAACCTGGTCATCAATTGCTTCTCTGATTATCTCTTGCACAGGGAGGGGCCCCAGTGGCCTTGTCGTCAGTGGTTTGAAATTGCCAGCCTCTCGGAGGAGAGGAGAGGAGGCTTTTTACTCCTACTATTTCAGTCTCGGAAACCCACTGGTGAGGTTCTACCCAGTCCCATAGGGTTGCTGAGTCTGGATCGACTCCATGGTAGTGCTTTCAGCTGGACTTTGGTTCAAGAGCCCATTGACGCCTGCAGGGTAAAGTCAGTCCGCTGCAGCAGGCACACAGCCAGGGAGCCAACTCCTGAGCGCCACATCCGATTTCTGCCCAACGAATGTTCCCTAAAGACCTTTAAGCTTTGACCTTAGCGGTTTATCGCCCTATCAAATGCAAACCTAGCTGGTCCAGGGCTTGCACAATGGATGAAAAGTGGTTCAGGCAGGAGAAAGTAGAATTCAGGCTATTTTTTTCTCTATAACAGGGACACTGTTTTATTAATTTAGAACTCATTGCTTTCAAGCAATAGATACTAAGCTTGGCCAATTTGACCACAAGCAGGGGATTTATCCTCGGGGCACAGTGGCTTCTCCTAGGACCCAGGAGGCCCACAGCTGGCCTCAGAAAGGCACCATCAACGTTCTTTCTACTGTTCCCATATGCTGCTGCCTTAAAAACCCGCCTGAGTTAGGGGTTCCTGGAGAAGAGACAGATATGCCCCGCTTGGATGAGAGACTCAGCCTTGGTCTAATTGCTTGTGGCCAGAGGTGGCAGGGTCACATAGTGCACACTTAGTGCCCGTGCTTGCTTCCATTCTGCAGAAGTGGAAGCATTGATGTGGTGTACCGTTAGAGTAGCATGCATGAGAAGGGGGCATATGCGGGCAGGGGAGCACACGGAAGGCTGAATCGGTCCCTCTGGGGCAGAAAGGAGGGTCTGCAGCCTCTCAAAGACCATGGGGGATACAGATAGACACATGGTGCTCGGGGTAGTAAAGCGGAATAGCCAATTGTATCAACAGTTTGGCTACACATAGCAAAACTCCGAGACCTCATCCTACCCAGGACTCCTGGCAACCTTCTAGATGCATCTTAACTGAAAGGGGGGTGGTGTGTGTGTGTGTGTGTGTGTGTGTGTGTGTGTGTGTGTGTCTCGGCAGTGTGGGGGGTATGGTGGTGGTTGCCCGGCCTGTCAATCAGTGCCTGACTGTCAAAACCGGTGAGCTTGTTGGCTGGGACAACATGCCTGGTGAGCAGTTTGAATTCCACCACACAAATGTTTTGGTCTACAAGATAAAGTACAACAAAACACAATGAGCAGCCAGCCTGCTCTCTGTATTTGGGAGTCTAATAATGATTCTCTGAGAGGCTTAAGGGGGCCAGGGGTGGAGAGTGTGAGAAATGTTTAATGTTCCGGAGAAGAGGCAAACGCAGCCTTTTCTTTTAGTTTTCTGCACACTGTCTCTGCTCCGTAGAGGACAAGTGCGAGGGGCCAGGTCCACGCCATCGTGGAGGGAGGGCTTCTTAGCACCTGCAGCCTCACGAGGGAGTCCCAGGGGAGGAGGGTGAGAAACCTGGATCTGTGAGTGGTTGGAAAAGAAACAAGAATGCCGGCCTCGCTACACCTTTGAAGATAAAAACTTTATTTTACAACATTATAAAGCAGCTTTACATGAAGCACAAACGAGATCCATTTACTTTGTATAGAAACAAAATACCTTTCCATCTGCAAAAAATCAAGTTTTGCTGTATATAAAACTAACGTGTGCACATTGTGCTTAAACTGCAAAGTCTGCACAGCTTTACAAAGGACTACCCTTCATAAGGGCATCCAGTAAACACTTTATTGCATATTTAACACATGGTCTATAACCCACATGTACGATGTAGAAACCAGAGAAACAATCACGAGGAGGAAGATAGCAGCTATCTGAGAGAGTTTGCACGCGGACGGAGACGGAGGTGGGCGGGTGGGGGGCAGCCACGCCGGGAGCATTGTGCTTGGGTGTCCGGGGCATGTGCTCGTGCGCGTGCGCACTGTGTGCTGCCTGGATGCAGCCTGCGTGAGATCACCCCTCACGGGTCCAACTTTACCTCCACCCAGAAGCGTCTGGCCAGCTTTCCAACTGAGGTGGCAACAGATCGAAGTGAACCCCGAAGCTAATTCAGGGGTGTGTGTGTGAAAAACAACACAAAACAAAACAACATAAAGCACTGTCCACCCCCCACCAGAAAACAAAACCCATGATTCTGAAACAAAACCAAGCAAAAATGTGTAGACACAAAGTAACAAAATACAAAGACCCTCCCATTCGATTTAAGCTCCAGCTAAGTAAACAGGGGACACCCCGAAGCCCAGCAAGCCGGCAGGAGATCAAGAGCAAAGATGGAAGGGAGTGTGTTGGGCAGTGTCCCTCCCCACTGTCTCCAGAGACCCCTGAGTGCTCTGTCACAGGCAGCTCACTGGGCTCCAAGGACACCGGGATGACACCCCGGGGGCCCACACTTTAGACGCTCTCGGGTAACTGAGGACGCTGCAGTGTGAGAACCACTGGCTGGGACTGGCACGGGCATTGGTAAGGCACTGAAGTGTGTCATGGGAGCCGTACCAGGGCCCTCTCGTCAAGTGCTGTGCCCTGGTGCTAGTGCGCCATCACAAAGCAGTCCTCCAGACCTCTGAGAGCAACAAGGAAGAAAATGGGTGCTCGGGTTGGAGGGTGCCTTCTGTTTCTTGCAGTCCCAGGAACTCTTGCTGAGCCATCGGAGGGGCACGAACACCCCACAATGGGAAAGCGCTTCAGATGTCACAGCTGTCGGGGTTGGGGGCCCAGTCCAGAGCGGTGGCCCACTAACCCGGAGTTTCGGCCTCCTTTACTGCTGCCAGTCTAAGAGTGCCTCTGTTCCTGTTCCCGTGCCTGCAGCGTGCAGGCAAGTCAGTCACCTGGCTCCCAATGGGCACATGATCCCGGCCACTTGGCACCCCCTAGGTGTGCCTTAGACTCAATGCCTGACAGAGAGCACACACAGGTCTCTGCGGAGCCTTAATGTCGTATACTGTCACCCAGGAAAATTAGAGCCGGGGCGAAATCACTGCCCCCCCACCCCCACCCCACTTTTCACCTGAGGCCTGGAGCCAAGGAGCACACCTGGCCCGTGGGCTGAGGGCTGCGTGGGAGGTACGGCAGGACTAAGCAGAACAAAGGCCTGATTACATGGGGGCAACAGGGCAGTAGCAGCCCTACAATCCGGTAGCTGGGATAATTTAAAATTACACTTACAAACAAAAAGCCATGCCCAGGGCCCATGGTTTGGAAGAACAGTTTACATGTTAGCTGTGACATAGCTTTTGTTACAGGGGGGTGCAGGGGTAATGGGGAAGAAATCCTGAAAGACCAGTGGTGGTGGGCTCACTAGCTCCTTCCCACACTTTTCTAGCTCCTACAAAAGGACTCATGTTTAGGCTGTGATAAATGTCCCCAAATCAGGTTGCACCTAAATAAGACATAAAACCCTAGCTGAGGACATCAAAACCAAGCCATCACAATGGGGGCGGGGCGGCGGTGGGGGAGGGGCTGATTATCAAACCTTTACTGATTGCAGATCAAGTTTCCTCACACAAACAACATCTTCATAACCCTTGTGCAGTCGACAAGTCCCGTGTAAGTTGTGCTTACATTACATAACTGACGCCGGCACCCCAAATGGGTTTCTACTGCCGCACTTCAAGACAAGCAGAGACTCCACACCCTCTCTAGAGAGCAGACACTCCTCTGCCCAGAGAAATGAAATTCTAGAAAAGACAGGTCTCTTTTAAAAAGTGCTGCATGGGCCACGCTCCGGGCTACAAGTACACACTCATGGTGTTCACAGTCCACGACTTGGTAAAGAGTCTGCATTCGGTCAGAAACAGAAGCACATTTGAAAAGAGCTTCATACTAAGCTGTCAGGGACGAGCCAGGTGGGTGGCCAGGGCTGCCACCACTGCCACAGCCATACGGAGAGGCGCACCAAACAGAGCCCTGTCACCCGGCCCCCCGACGTCCCCTCCCCCCCAGCCCACAGAATGCGAGTCTCTCAGCAGACTGGCCTCAAGGGTCTCTCTGCTGACACACGAAGCCCAGTGGGCGGCCTTGGGAAATGCGGCGGCGGCGCCGGCTTTGGTCGTGAGCTCTAGTTGTGCTTTGCCCGGTTGCCTTTTAGGTAGCTTTTCCATCTCTTGACAAATTCTTTGAAGATTGGGGACTCATCGACAGTGCTGAGTAGTTGCAGCTGGTTGATGTGGGTGGTATGGTAGTCCCAGCGGGCCAAGTTGGGGGTGATGCCGAGCATGAAATGACGGAGGTCATAGATGGTCCCTGAGCCAGTGTCATACAAGGGGAGCATAGCTTTCAGGGACTCCATGCCACGCTCATACAAGGCCTTCGCTTCTTTTCCGAGTTTCTCCCCGGCAGTTTCCTTTAAGTCATAGAGCCCGATTAAGGAATACATAAAGCCATTTAAAACGAAAGAGCTCGGGGTGGTGGGGTACTCCTCATACCAGTCATGTTTATTCATAAATACAGCTCTGACCCCGTGCTGCTCCGATGGAAACTTGTAAGGGGCCGTGGCCCTTAAAGCTGAACTGAGGAATGTGTGGTCTTTTGTTAACAGGTAGGCCCGGACGAGTGTCGAGATGGCTTGGCCTTGGGCCATCGCAGAGTACCAGCCCGGCTCTAGGGCCTTGAACCCTTCCCCTAACTTCCGGGTCACCATGATGGGCCAGCCACCTTTCTCGTCCTGGTTCCGCACCAGCCAGTCACTGGCGGCAAAAAAGGCGGCCATGTGTGCGGTGGTAGAGATGGTGATGTTGTCCAGGAAGCCTTTGCCTTTTGCCACCAAGCGCACCACCTTCTTGGGCATGATCTTGGTCGGCTTAACAGCTTTTGTGTTGGAAAGGCCCACTCCTTTCCGGAGGTCGGTCACCAGGTCCCGGGTCACCGTGCCCCACGACGTCCGGGGACCGATGCCATAGTACACGTCCCGCTCCTTGAACGCAATGAGCTGGGTGTTGGAGACATAGTGCACAGTGAAGAGCTGGTTCTTCTCTGTGGTCTCCAACACCACCGACACACTGCCGTTGGTCAGGAACTTGAGGTCAAATGAAATAATGAAGTCCTTGGTGTTCCCAAGTTGCAGCGACACACCCTCACTGGTTTCTGCAGGGAACAGACACCGAGACACAGACCCATTAGCAGCAGCTCTTTCGGATTTAAAACTTAACTCTTTATTTGTCCATGGCAACCACTGGCTAGCCAAAATTGACATTTCTACTTTCTGAGTGTCCGATCATCACTAGGAAAACCAACCAACCAACCAACAAACAAATGACATCAATGGTAAACAAATAACAGGCGCGGTGCATTCAGGATGGTGTGTGGGGCATGAAGCCACGTTCTCACTTTCTTTCTGCCCCCGCAGGCAGGCTGAGAGCCGGTGGCGAAGTCACTACTAATCTAACTGCCATGTCTAGATGGGATGCCGGCTGCTCTGCTGCATTCCATGACTGTTCTAGTAAAAGCTGGTTGGGCACACAGCATTACAGGGTAGAGGTTGGATGGAAAGAATGGCTACCCATGAGCTTTAGGTTTGTTTTTGTTTGCTTTTTTTTAATCTTTCAATTTTCTTTTTTTATTATTATTATTTTCTTAATAATTTTATTAGGGGCTCATACAACTCTTATCACAATCCATATGAGCTTTAGGTTTGTTATTGAGAGAACACATACTATGCATTCACTGCGTATTATTATGCACGGCTCATGCTGGAAACTGTCTTTACCACTAGTATATCAAACACTAGCAGGGTCATCCAGGGGGGATGCCTTTCAGTAGAGCTTCCAGACTAGAGGAGCCAATAAAAGCCCTAACAATGCAGTAGAATGTTGCCTGATCCAGCGCTGGAAGATGAGCCCACGGACTGGAAGGGCCTCCTGGGGAAGCACTGCCACAGTGACGCAGGGCTCCCACCTGCCCATGCAGCGTGGCTCTATTGTGTACAGCTGCACACCTCCAGTATTAGCTAGTAATTGGAATGAGGAATATACAAAGTATGACTGAAGAAAAATTGGGAGTCAGGCAAAATGAAACGTGTCACTTGGAGACTGATGTCCAACACATTAAGGAAGTTGAAAAGGACAGATGGTGGCCATTTTGAATCCAAGAACCACCTGGCTGACACTGCTGAGAAGGACAAATTTGAGGATCTGGGGCTGTATTCATCACCACAGAACAACAGAACCTCTCAAGGTTGCTCTTGAAACAGAGTTCTGTCAGTGAAATGCATCGGCCTACAAGAGAGATAGGTTAATACAACAGTCATTCAAATGCATGCACCAACCACGAAGGGGGAGATGAAGAAATGAAACATTTCTACAAACTCAATCTGCAATTGACCCAGTGCACATTGGTAATTACTGGTGATTCGAGCGCAAGTGCTGGTGGTGGTGGGAAGAGCAGTAGTTAGAAAATACAGCCTCAGTGGTAGAACTCATGCTGGAGATCACATGACAGCCGAGACCAGGGCCTTCTTTTTAACTCAACTCAACACAATCGATGATGTGCACCCGGACCTTGCTGGCTGGATTACATCTGTGGAAAGAGATGTTATCAGCCAAGGCAAAGCCAGGGCCTGATTACAGAACAGATTATCAATTGCTCACATGTAAGTTCAAGCTGAAGTTGGAAAAAATCAAAGTAAGTTTCTGAGAACCAAATTATGATTTTGAGTTAATTCCATCTGAATTTAGAGACCATCTCAAAAACAATGTGATGCACTGAACACTAATGACCAGAGACCAGAAGAGTTACGGGAAGAAATCCAGGGCATCATACATGAAGAAGGTCACTACAGCAGGGAAATAAGGAAAAGACCAAATGGATGTCAGAAGAGACTCTGATAGCGACTCTAAGCCCAGAGTAACTAAAGGGAGTAGGAGAAATGACAAAATAAAAGAGCCGAGGCGGCCTGAGAAGATACAGGAAAGTATTATGGCAAAATGTATAAAGAACTGGAGGCAGAATACCAGTGAGGGTGAATGCACTCGGTCTTTCTCAAGCTAAGAGAATGAAGAGGAAATTCAAGCTTCAAGTCATAATACTAAAACATTTTATGGGTACAACATTGAATGACAGAAAGCAGAGGAAGAAGACCGAACAAATACATAGGGTGACTGTACCAGAGACAGTTGATGGACATTTAACCATTTCAAGAGGTAGTGTAGATTAAGGACCAATGATGCTGGAGAACTACATGCAAGCTACACTGAAAGCATTGGTGGAAAATAAAGTTCCACTAATTGACAGAACACCAACGTTTCAACCAATGGCACAACACTGGTGATGACCACCTGCCTGTGCCAGGAAATTGGGAAGAATTCCCTATCTGTGTCCATCCCCACAAAAGGGGATCTACAGAATGTAGCAATCACTGAACAATAGCATTCATATCATACGCTAATAAAGCTTTGCTGAAGATAGTTTAAAAATTAGCTACAGTCATACATGGGCAGGGAAGTGTCAGATGTTCAAACCACTGCTGACGTCAGGTGGATCATGTCAGAGAATACCAGATGGATACATGGATATTGATCAACATACATTGTATCAACATACATTGACTATGTTATGTATGGATCATAACAAACTACAGATTAACTTATGAAGAATGGGGATTCCAGAATACTGCTTTGTTCATGTGGAACGAGTACATGGGTGAAATGACTTGTGTGAACGAAACAAGAGTATACCGTGTGGTTTAAAATTGGAAAGAGGTGTGACAGGGTTGTACCCTTTTACCTTATTGAATCTAAATGATGAACAAATAATCTAGGAAGCCAGAATGAAGAACATGGCGTCAGGATGAGAGGAAACTTTAATAACAACCTTCAATCTTCAGCAGACAGAACCTTGCTTACTGAACACGACAACGTCCACTTGAAGCACACACTGATGAAGGTCACACTATGTAACCCATAGGATACAAGGCTACACTTGAACCTTAAAGAAACAGAAATCGCCACAATCGGTGTGAAAACAGGAAGATACATGAAGACAAACAGGAAGTTGTTCAAGATTTTGTTTACTTGGATATAATCAACATCCATGGAAACAGCAGTCAAGAAATCAAATAATATATCATAGTGGGCAAATCTGCTGCAAAGGGTCTCTTTAAAGTTTTCAGAAGCAAAGACGTACAGCACGGTACCTTAAGGACTAAGGTACTGTATGTACTGTGTATAAGCTGAGTTTTTCAGCACATTTTAAATGCAGTTTTTGTGGTAAAATTAGGTGCCTCGGCTGATATTCGGGTCGGCTTATACTCGAGTATATACGGTATGCCTGGCCCAAGCCCTGGTCTGATTTAAGGGCGTCATGTGCACGTGGCAGCTGGATAAAGGAAAAGGAAAACTGCAGAGTGGATGGTGTCCGCAAACAAAACCGACTCTTCTGTAGACAGTCTTAGAACACAAGCTTGTCAGGCTCAATGTTTGTCAGGCACATGTGTCATCTGGGCCAGACTAGGATTCTCAATGGCTTAGCAGTTATGTGACATGCCACCTGGCAATTATGTAATGATGTGACTGGCCACCACCGTATGCCCTAAAGTGACAGTCAGTCATTTGTAAAGGGACCCGTTCTTAGGTCACAGCCCTGATTCGATGGAAGGGGGTGCCTCAGGGGTGTGGTCTGCACCAACTGTTAGCTTGTTATTAGGTGCTGCTGACTTGGTTCTGACTCAAGGACTGTCTGTACACAAGAAGGAAACACTGCTGCACTGTCTGCTGCTCTTGAGCCCATTGTTGTAGCTACCTGTCAATCCCTTTTGTTGAGAGCCTTCCTCTTTTCCACGAGCCCACTCGACTGAACAAGATGTCTTTTTCCAGGAACTAGTCTCTCTTTTATTTATTTATTTTTTCTCTTTCTTCTTTTTTAAAAATCATTTTATTAGGGGCTCATACAACTCTTATCATGATCCATACACACATCAATTGTGTAAAGCGCATTTGTACATTCATTGCCCTTATCATTCTCAAAACATTTTCTCTCCACTTAAACCCCCGGCATTAGGTCCTCATTTTCCCCTCCCTCCCCACTCCCCCCTCCCTCATGAGCCCTTGATAGTTTATAAATTGTTATTTTGTCATATCTTGCCCTGTCCGACGTCGTGTCTGAAGCACGTGAGACAAAGGCTCGGCATCCTTGCTTCTACCCTCTATAAGGTTATAGTGGGCTTCTAAGGTTAAATCATTTTGTCCTAGGCCAAAAGCTAGGCTTCCTGGGCCCAAGTTCAAACCCTGAAATGGCATGCCCATGAGGATAATCCATGGAAGGGGTATTTTCATAGCCACGGAAACAGATGTTTTGAGGTGCTGTTAAGGACATATTTAGTGTGCCACCAGAGGCAAAGATGGGACGTGTGGACTGCTGGCAGTGTGCATACAGTGTGATCAGCTTGGAGAATAGTAACCTGTGGGGCCGATCATTTAACCCTCAGCACCCTGCATTCTACTACCAGTGTGGGTGTATCGGGCTCACGGTTCTTACTTAGTTCATGGGGGTCACAGCTATGGAGGCTGCATCAAGAATGAGAGCCCCTCTGACAGACTTACTCTTCAAATGATGCCCGGGGTGACTTTTAACAGATGATTTTAGAGGTATAGTTCCAACAGAGTGAACACTCATTTTATCTGGCAAAATGTCAGTATGCAATCTCTCTCTAAACCAACATCTCTCTGCATCGTTGGCAGCATGGAATCTGATGCTCAGACAATGACCTGAGACACAGCAGGATTCTGAATGGATTTATGAATCAGCCAAGATCGAATTATCTTGAGTACTGCTTAAAAATAAAAATCTTAGGGTATTGCTTCATAAATCAGATAAAAGATTATTAACCATGACATTTTTCTCATCAACCTGGGTAAAAATAACTCATCTTTAGAAATCCCAATCAGAAAAGGTGAATAACTTTCCTCCCAGAATTCCTTATCATTTTCATTTTAAGTATACAAACCTGATGAAGCTTTATGGTTCAACCCATCACTTTCTGTCTCAATTCTGCATTGAATAAAAAGAGGGATCAGCTTGCGAGTGTTGGCAGGTTGGGTTGTTCACTTACCTCTCCTTACACTGGACTCTACTAGTGTGGGTCTATCTGGCCCAAGGGTCCCAACTACTTAATTGATGAGTATATTACTTTTATTTAATACAACATTGAGATAGAAGGTGATAGATTGACCCATACAGAGGGATTTCTGAGCCATATAAGAGAACCGACAGAGCAGCCACAATCCCTAATTTAAATTAACCAACTACCCAGCATAGCCTTTCCAACATCTTATGAGAAAAGTCTCTATTTCTCATTTAATAGAAACACAGAGAGGTTAGATAGGCTGCCAGCTTCACTCACAGGGATGTAAACAGTGGCAAATGGGATGGGAATGCAGGTGCAGCCAGGTTTGGCAAGGTCATAGGTTACCTGGAGACCACTAATAGAAAGTTTCGGGCTCTCTATTGTTTATTGACCCCATCCTCTCCCACAGCAGTTATTCCCAGGAGTTACCATGAGTCACAATATTTTTAGGATATGCATTTTAGGCAATGAAGGTTAATACTCATTTAGGGAGAGATGCTAAGTCAATGTCTCTACAGACATTGCAAACAGGTTTCATTCATTCACTTAATCAAGCTTACTGTGCGGAATGAGAAGAGGCCCTGATCACACACTTGCAGAACACCGAAGGGTAAGGGTCAGTTCGCGGAGAAGCTCACAAGAAGCCTGAGAAAGCAGGAGGCGGCAAAGAGAAGGAAAGCAACACCAAGAGGACCGCGCTTCCGAAGGGGAAAGTGCTCTGAGAGAACGTGCACAGAGTTTCGATGTATTCCACTTTCACATCAGCCCGAGGGACAAACACGAGCCAACAAACAATGCAGGATACAGAGACACGGCACACTCAGGAGGATGGCTGCACAAGGTGACGAAGTTGTGCACAACCAAGTTCCTTGGGTAGACCCCAAACCAAATGTTTTTCTTTTGCTTAATTAAGTTTAACCATTTCCTGCTGAAACACCTACTTAGGTATGAGAAGGTAAATAGTCTTAAACATATCAATATGCCTTCTCACCCAGCCAAGCCTCCCACTTTACAATAAGCAAAGATGCGCTATCTACTGGAATACCACAGAAAGCCACGGAAGCCATGGAGTTCTAGTCACAACATAAAAACTAAAGGTCACCCATTATTTGCACTGCATTAAACACGCATAAATCCATTACTTCAGGCCATCTAGAGTGAGCGGATTTGTATTGTGCCTTATTACACAGTCATCAATAAAGGACAAGGAGAGAATACTGAGGAGGTCTTATAACCTCTCCTCTCTCTTTATTTACACACTGCAAGGTTGACAGGAGGGGGGTTGACTTCTGTTCTCCACATTGTTGCTCCACAGAGAATGAAGCCTGAGGTGCTAACTAAAATTATTTCATTGTCTTTTTAAGTAATGGACTCATTAATTCTCGTGGATATTGATTAGAGGAGGAAAATGCATTACATCCTAATTAATGAGACTGTCTTAGTAAAAGGGGAAATGTTGCATAAAGTTAATTTGATTTTATAAATGATTTTAATAGTGGAAATGGTTTTATATGAAGTTTGAGGGCATCTTGTACATTACCATCATTTGCTCTGGGAAACAGACTTGTGTGTGTTGAAGGTATGCTATGCTGAGGAAAGTTACTGGTAGGAAATAGGCAAATGAAAGGATGGCTGTCTCTAGAAGGAAGAATTTCTGCCTTAATGCAAAACGGTTTAAAAATTAATGAACTATTAAAATAACCAAGGCACTTCATTCCTGAAGGGTAGCGGGTCTTGGAGGGAACCACATGCCATGCATTAGCCTGGATCTTAACATTCAATCTACAGTTTCTTATTGTCTTGAGTTCCCACCTGTTCCTTCTTTAGAGATTTTGCTTGGGTCACACCCTTTGCTTCTTTATAAAATTAATACAAAGGGATTAGCCAATGTGTTTAAAAAGCAACAACATGAAACCATATTTAAAAAGTTTTAAGGCATTATCAACATAAAATTAGCAGACACATATCATACATAAGAACTCACCTGGAGCAGTAAACTGTTTAACATTGGTGAATCTGGACTTATCCGCCACGTTAGACATAAAGCAGCCCTTTGGCACCACCCAGTCGTTTGGCTTGCTGTTCCTGTCCTTGTCTTCGGCTGTTTCATACACCTCTATGTGAGGGGGTTTCTCAGTGAGGTTCTTGCTGTAATGGCTTAACCCATACTGTGCAATCTGGATTGGGTAGAAATAGCCTTGAGGTCCCCATTGGGTGGATAATGGAACACCTATAAAACAGAGAAATAAAATGAATAGCCATGAAAGGATGTTTACATAAGAAAGAAATCAAAAAGAAAGGATGTTTACAAGCCAACTTTAAGCACCAGTCCCACTGTTTGACTTTTGGGGATATATCCTTTGTACAATGTCTCCCAGAGGGCTGGAAATCAGTATCAGATTAACCAGATACCGAAGACAACATTAAGTATTCAGCATGCAGTCTTTTTGTTGATAGACAGGAGTGCGATGTTATGATGTATTTCTAAGGACTGTGTGCGTGTTCATTTTTATCTTAGATATGGATAGCATGGTTAGTAATCCCATTCTATATATGCAAATTTGAAACTATTGAGATACATTTAGAAAATGTTACAACGTTTCATCCTGGAAATTCTAATTCTGAAACTATCTACCATTTGGACTTAGCAATCAACATAAACCTAAGTACCCCGCCCCACCCCACCCCACTTTTAAATCATATACTTGAAAGTCAAGCTGGTTTTCTGATCAATTTTTCTGGACATTCCAAAATGTACCAAGAATGGCTATTACCCCAGGGATTAGAAGCTATGAAAGAATAACAAACCATGCAGAAAGCACAGAATGAACTACTGGAGTTCAGCCATTAGTCCAGAGAAGATGGGCTCTATGCATTGTCTTATCTTCTGGGGATGACATTTGGCTAATCTAGTACGAAGATTCTTCTCAAATGATAATAATTATATTTTTAATATGAAATTTCTTGGAATGTTGAGCGTTGACCTTACTGGTGAGAATTTTAGATTCTGAGGCAGGTTAATGGGATAATCCTCTTTGATGTGTATGGTTTTGTTGCAGCCTTTAAATCATACCACCAAGAGAAAAGAAGCCCTATGCTTAACCTTCACCTGCTCCTCCCTGCTAAGTTGGAGTGATGTCTCTTAACAGTACTCTATACACTTGCTATATAACTAAAACTTTCACTTTCTTACTCCTCAACTAATCAGGGTGGTCAAACTCAAGTGGAAGAGACAGATACCAACCTTCAACCCCGCTTATGCACTTGACTCTGTCGCGGACTTCCACATTGTAGCCTTCAAAGGACATAAACACACCGTCCGGGTGATAAGGGGCTCGCTGTGCATAGACCTTGGAGTAGCTATGGGAGAACTCAAAGCGGTCATAGCCATCATACTGAACCACCTTTCCATAGACGTCAAAGTACTTCTCGACCCACGTGAATGGCAGAAAGACTTCATTCCCCTCACGTCTCCCTTTAATTGTATGATCATCATTTATGAGACAGTCAATCTCCTCATATTTGAGCCCCAACACCTTGCTTCCCCCATTGCCATTGAAGCCCCCCACCACTGGGGGCGCTTTCTGCTGTTCCTGAGGGAATCCTTCCTCCGACTGTGGTTTGGCCATGTGGTTCACATAGTTGTTACTCTCCGATGCGGCTGCTCTCTTCTCTAAGCCATCTCTGAAGCCACCACTCAAGTGTCGGGGAAACTGGATAGGTCTGTCGCTGGAACATTTATTCCACAAGAGCACTGTGACCAGAGTGAAGAGTGCGCAGATGACGATCAGAGTCTTATAGTTGACCCGAGCTGCCAAGCAACGCATATTCAGACCATACCTAAGAGGCAAGGAGAAATTCATGAAAAGATGGACTGTTGAAATTTCATAATATAAACGCCTATTTTTTTTTAATGCTGAACAGCCATGCTAAGATGATTTTATCACTTGCATTTCATTTAATCAGATGTCTAATTACTAATTTAAATGCCTGGTTAGCATAATCCTCTAAAGAAGAAATTATTGATCATTCTGGCATTGTAAGTCCCTTGGTGTCTCAGTAATTTCCCCATGATGCCCCTAACCAAGAGAATAACTAATAGTTCCATTTCTCAAATGGTTAGGTTCAAACAACTTAACAAGTAATAGTTTGATATCTGTTTTAAAAATATAACAAACTGAAATTGAAAAAAACAACAACAACATTCTTAATCATTGATAGGATGCGTTGTGCCCATAAATGATGAACCGTCCTGAACCTTGGAACTGGATTGGTCAACACCAAACTTATTGCCAACCACACTGGTACTTCCTTTTTCTCATAGCAACTTTGCAAATCAAGCACTCTGCAAAGACATGACATCATCAATCTGATACTGAGATTGTTAACTACCTCAAGCTAGTGGTTCGCTCAATGTCCAAGCTATGTCAACTGTGCTTCCCTCTATACTTTAAAAGATGCTGTTAGCCCCCTTTGAGTTCTCTGGGGCACCTGGAGGCACCCCAGCACACAGTTTTGGAGCCATGCCTCTGAATCATGATCTTAGACAAGTAAGCCCTCGAGCACAGTGGCTCTCATACTTATCATCAGAATCACATCGAGGGCTTATTGCATCAGAGCTAGCCTCTCTCCTCCTAAGGGGGTTTCTGATTCAGAAGATCTGGAGGAACGACCTCAGAGTTTTCATTCTTAATGATGTCCCAAATGATACTCAAGTGCCAAACAGGGTTCCTTGGCTATTGGGTTAGACCACAGGCTTTCAAACTGTGTGCCTAGGGCCTTTCAAGGAGCATCAAAAAGGGAAGAGGGGGAAATCTGTAGAATGGAGGCCAGGTCTCGGAGGCCCTCTTCAACCAGCTAAGTCTTTCCTATCTGAAGAAAGGACGGAGACAAAAGCAAGAGTGGAGAAACTGGGATTAGACACCCGTACATATAAGCCGGATGGGACCAGGAGAGGGCATTTCATAGCGGAGGGGGCTTGGGGACGGCAGGCACCATCTCACACATGTGCCGATTCCTCCAACCCTGCAAGGGCGCAGTGCAGGAAGCACCAGGCTGTTTCCTGAGAAATGGTAGTTTCTGAACAGGAAAAGATCGTTCTTATGCTGCACTAAGTAGTGCCATAGTATAAGGGACCTTAAAAAGTTTATGGGAAAATTAACTGCAGGATCATGGGATTTTCCCACAGTCTGAAGCCCCTTGTATTCCTAGTGGAAGAGGACCATGCTAGGCTCCTAATGATGAATCTCTAGTTGGGAAATATTAAGAGGTCAGAGACTCTCAGGTCTCAGTTTATTATTATAGGCATAGAGTGACCCGGTTCCCATTGGAACCTTTGTATAAAATAACAAACGAATACCAAACAAAACGCTGCCACGGAGTCAATTCCAACTCAGAATAACACAATTCACTCTCTGCCACCGAGCTGAGTCCAGTCCTGAATGGCCCTAGAGGACAGAATGGAACAGCCTCTGTGGACTCCAGAGACTGTCGATCTTCACAACAGAGTAGAAAGCCTCATCTTTCCCCCACAGAGTGGTTGGTGGTTTTGAACTAATGACCTGTGGTTAGCAGCCCAATGCATAACCCAGCACATCACCAAGGCTCCTTAAGTAACCTAACAGTAACATGAATATGACCATACATTCTTTCAGTGATCCAGTTTTGTTGCTTAAAACAACTGTATTGGATATTTAAGTACCAGAGTTCAATCACTTAAATTTCAGAATCCTATGGCTTTTAGTATACTTAGTATAAAACATCTTCATCAACCCCAAAAGAGCCCTGTTTCCAGAGGCAGTTACTCCCTCATCTCTCACCCGTAAGGTCGTTGCCCTTACGCTCCATCCCTGAGGCTCCTCCCTCCCTGATCGACTGTCTTCTGTACAGATGTGTCTATTCTGGACATTCTACATAAACGTACCAGGTCTTACATGCTCTCTCGTGACTAGCTTCTTTTCCTTTGCATGCTTCTGCAGGCTCACCCATGTTGAAATGATGATCCATTCTTATTCCCTTTTATATGTACCTGTGTTGTGTTGTAGCAAGTGCCAGCACTAGTTATAAAAGAGTCCTTTTATAACTATACAGTTCTTTAGTTTTTAAACCGTTTACAATATAGTTAGTCTAACCTACGATGAAGACAGGAGACTGATTATCCCTATTTTATAGGTCAGAACCAAGGCTAAAAAGTCAAATATCTCACTGAAGCTAGTAAGCAGCAGAGCTCCCCGCTCCTAGTCCAGTGCTCTCTCCAGCACACCAATCTGCTTCGGCAGCAGAGTTCCATCGTATCGCTGCTTGTTTGCTGACATCGTCTCCTCGACTAGGAACACTGAACCCAACAGGAATCCATGGTACTGAGTTTCACACAACCCTTTCTTCAAAATTTCACTTTAAACAGGGATACTCTGGCAATTATAGCTAAGTTTTATATTTAATGGCAGGAACATTAAATACCCTATCTAATTAAGTCCTGACGTATTATATTAAACAGATGGTATTTTCCCCTGGGCATTACCAGCTTCATTCTTATTACGGCTCTAAATTTGATTTCAGACAACTTTGTTACCAGTCTTTTTGGTGAAACGATAATGCTGCAAATTGAAAATAACTCCAAGTAATTTTTTTAAGGACGTAGAATTTCTAAGCATTTTGGAAAATCTTGGCATATTACTTAAAAAACGAATGGCCTTCACAACAAATTAGGTAACTTAGATATAATAAAATAGAAAACATAGAAAATTCAAAAAAGATAAACTTCTGAAATGGACTCAAGAGAAATGGAAACTCTGAATAGGCATAAGAAGATAATGAATTATTAATTTAAATAGCTGCCATAAATAAAGTCCAGGCCTAGGTGTCCCTGGTGGATGACACCAGTTATGTTAAAGATGAATTACACTGTCTCTTCCCTTATCAGCCTAGTTAGGTTCCAAAGAACAGATCGTTATATGAATTTGTGTTTTGAGAAAATGTAGGATGGCCACATCATATCACAAAATGGAGGGTGACTATGACATCATTACACAATGGTCAAAGGACAACAGCATATCATTGCCCAAACCGCTGATGATCAAGGTCCAGCCAAGTTGACACATAAGCTTAAGTATCACAGTCAGTGTTGCTCTTGCCTTGCCCCCTGGTGTTCGTTACTGCCAGATGTACATCATTAATGCCCCATGTAGTCAGATAGATTTTTAAATTATGTAAATGTGAAGAGAAGAGGAGAAGAGAAATCTTCACACTCTTCCAAAATAGAAGCGGACACACTGCCCACGTCAATGAGACCCAGATCACTCTGATTCCAAAACCAGACAGCGATGACACAAGACAGGCAGACTAGTATTCTACTTACTACAGACGCAAAGCCCCAACAAAATACCCACAGACCAAAGCCGGCAGCTTACAAAACTGCTCAACAAGCGGTGCTGGCAACTGAGTAGCAGAAGCATGAAGTCACCCTTTCATTCAGATCAGTTAACCACATTAACTCAAAATAGGCCTGGGACCTCAAGATAGGAGTTAATGTTGGAACACGAGCGTAAAAAAGAAACACAGGTGTAAACCTTCCTAATCGTGGGCTAGGCAAAGCCTCTTACATAGGACATACGCAGTACAAGTGACGAAAGTAAGAAAAGTCCACTTAACTTGATCAAAATTGAGAGCTGTGATGAACATGAAACATCAAAAAAGGAAACCCAGTCTACAGTGTGCAGAGAAGACATGCACCCCACACAGCAGACAAGGGCCCAGAATCCACAACGAACTTGTACAGCTCAAGACCTAAACCACAAATAATCCCATTAAAAGTGGGTACGGGAGATATGCAATTAGTCAGTAAGTCAATGAAAAGAGGCTCAATCTCAGTAGTCATCAGGGAAATGCTGACTAAAATCAAGAGTTACCACTTCACAAGCATTGCATGATTGCCTGGAGTGGATTCGAACTCATGACAATTCCATGTGTCACGTGGAGTTTCCTTGGATAAATTCTTTATGGAATGAGATTGACAAGTGTTTTGTGTGAGTCTGGGTAGACTAGAGAAACAACTCCTGAGAGACGCATGTATATAAGAAAGAGCTTTATATACAAGAGCCATTGAATACTGAGAAAATATCCCAGCTCAGTCCAGATCAAGTCCATAAGTCCAATATTAGCCCATATGTCTGATACCAATCTATAAATTCCTCTTCAGGCTCACGAAAAACATGTAATGACGCCAAATGCAGGAAAAACACAGGCCAGTGGGTGGGAAGTCTTGTGAATACAGTACCATTGTAAGCATCTCAGTGCTGGCAAGGGTCTCCACATGGCTCCTCTAGGTCAGGGCACTAGCATAGCTCCATGTGTCTTCTCAGCTGCAATGTCTTCCAGGGAGTAAGCTATTTATCTCCTTAGCGCCTCCAAATTGCGACCTGATTGTCAGGGTAAATAAACTCCGCCCCTTCAGTCTTATTACTCAAATTGACCACAGATGATGTAACTACCACACCTTTCTTCTGCAGTGCCTGGTGTGTTGGAACCAGCAACCTTTAGGTAACAGTTGAGTACCAACTATTTGCAACCTAGGACCCTACATCTGCTATGACAGCTATAATCTAAAGTCTAAATAGTGGAAAACACACACACACACACACACACACAAATCAAGTGTTCACAAGGATGTGGAGACATTGGAACCACCGTGCACTGCTGGTGGGAATGTAAAGCGATGTAGTAACTAATAAAGACAGCTTTGTGGTTCCTGGAAAGTTAAATATAGAATGACCATGTGACCTAGTATGGTATATAGACTATACATACACATTTCTAGGTATATATACTAAAGACTTGGACGC